CAGCTCCTCTGGCAGGGATTTGGGGCTGGTCACTTTGCTCACTTTGCCCAAATAAGGAGGGAGGGGGGACAATGACCCATGACTCAGTTGTGATGCAGTCATTTTATTAGGTCAGTCACCGTGGGCTACAGCATTTCACACCAGAATGCCACACAGAGCACATGGCTACTGCCTGTGGGTATGAAGATTGGGACCATGGCAAGGCAGTATGGTCTTCTGGCACTCAGTTTCCTCCTAATCTAAAGATGGGAAGGAGACACAGCAGGACAAAGGAGGAAGGAAATGCAGGGCCAAGGTTGGTGGGTAGAGGGAGGTATCGATAAGGGAGGAGGGGGAGAAATTGGACTAGCTAAGAAAGAAACACTAGAGAGGAGAGACTAGAGGGAGAGGAGAGAAAGGGGCAGGCAAAAAGGATACAGGAGAAGAGACAGGAGTAGAACAGAAGAAGTGGATGGGATTGTGGGAGAGACTTTGGATGATTCCTTTAGGATCCTGTAGAACCCTGATTTCCTTTGCCAAGATAGCAGCAAAACAGGATGCATTTGTACAATGCAAACAGGAAAGGGTACAAGTGTCATCACCTTTCCAGAGATGACATTGCAACAACCTGGTTCTGCTGATGTGATCATTGCATCTAATCTATCAGAGGTTCCTATTGTACCACGTAAGACGTAAAAAGAGAAACTGAGTCTTCTTATAAAAAAGTGAGGGATTCACCTTCTCATAGCAATGTAGAGGAAACTAACCAACCTAATTCTACTTTCAGGTAAAGGCAGTGAATCCATCTTTCGTTGTCAAAGTCTACTAGCAAGTTTTGTAAGTATAAAGCAATGTACAGAACCAAAGCTGCTGAAAGGTCAGAGAATTATCTACTTGCTCCGTTCAAAGATAAGGAAATAGTAAGTTATACCCACTAGATTTTAAACAATACAGCTGATTGTACAGAGAGAAACAAACAAACTGATACAGCAGTTCATCCCACAGAACCCCCACGTCGCTGAGCCCCAACCAGCTGCACCTTGATCTGTAACTCATCAAGCGCCAATTCCCCAGCATCCAGAGCCCCATCCACCCACACT